TAACCCAATTCAAGTTTTGTGCAAAAACGCATGATCGCTCCGGCTCGCCCGGTGCGTTCCAGCCTAGGTTTTTCTGGTTCTCGCGCTGAAAGTGGATGGCGAAAAGTGCGAACGCACAGACACACACATACAAACAGCCTCTAACAATATGCAAAAAAAAAAAACACAGAAACGATGAAACAAAAATTGAGAATATCAAAATAAGATCTAAAGCAAACTTTAGCGGCTGATTAAGCAAATTTCAGTCACTGAATATGCAGATTTGCGCAGTTATAAAAGAATAAGCCTTTAGCTAGTTGCTCCAGTTCAACTTTCTAGTTTTTACCTCCCTGTCGAGCTTTCCCCTTAATCTCTTTTTGACGCAGTCACACATCCGTAAAACAACTGCTGCTTAATCATAGAAGCGCCAGCGTGGCGATTGTTGATACTGTTCGATGAGTAGTGACCAGCAGTCGAACAACCAGAAGATACGGCAACGAAAAGCAGTGGAAGAGTTCCAGGATCAGTACTTTGCTACTGCTCGTGAGCTATCGGACAGGCAAATTTCAAAAGCGGTTGCTCCGCTGCAGCAGCGAGTTTGTTTTTGTTGCATGGAGTCAGCCAACTATTTTTCTGAAAAGCGTCACCATTTCTTGTGTAGAGACCTGGGATCACCAGTATCGAGTGGGAATGGATAGAGCAATACCTCGCAGAAAACTGAGTTACGGGAAGGGGAGGAAAAAAACCAAATTTATCTGAACACGGGCAGAATTTAGCAAAAATGTATGAACTGAAAAATAACGAATGAATAGGCCCAAGAGGAAGTAATCAGCCACTCAGATAGCTCCGAAAGTGGCGTACGTACATCAGCTAGGCTGTGGGTAGTGAAAATATGCAGCTCAGGATAGAAGGATTGGTATGTGAGAGCGTCCCAGTAACATCAGTAAAATTGAATAATTACACTGATTGCCCGGGCGATCTTGTTTTTTTATGGTGTGAACACCAGCTGAGAAACTTAAAACTGCATCAAAAAAAATTAAAAACATCGACTTACACAGCAAAAAGTTCTCTATTTCTAACAAGTAAATACAGTAAGTGTGAGAGAATCTGCTTGCCACTCCTCTGTACTGTTTCTGAAGTGGCCATTCTAGGTTCTGGCTCTGGATAATTACAAATGAAGTAGACTTAATCAGGAACTGTGCCACATTTTATGTCAGTAGTTCGATTCAATGAACTGCCACGGGGATTTGCGGTAATGAAGAAGGCTCTAATTCCCTTCCTCTGCCTCTTTTTTCCAAGGTATAAATTCGTGCCTGTTTTTCTCTGCTGCTACCTGACAGACGCTGGTTCAGCTGTGGATTACAGTATATCCAAGTTGCTCCAATAACTGCACTTTAAAAGTGCCTCGCACCCTTCTCCTCCAAATTTTTATTGGATGGCCAATTTGCGCTCTTGCTTACTCATCGTTGGTGTGTGCAGGTTACAGTAACTGCCGCTTATTGCTAGATAAATTCTGAAATTTCTGGTAATTGCAAAATTTTCGAAGGCCGATTGATCAATTAATTTTCAAATGTGTAAAATTCTTGCTCACCCAAACAGTATTTTGTCAGCCCTATTCTCAGTCCTGAACTAGTTGCTTCTTAATGCACTCGCGTGTACTTAAAATTTTTTGTCAGGATAATCTGGACTTGGGCGGATTCAATGCTGAACAGGAAAATGAAGTTAACGACAATATAAACAAAGGTAGCATTCCGGAATTTTCTTTAATGAAAACGCATCAATTTTAAAAATCCGCTTAGGTGAAGTTCGTAATGACTCGAGTGGTCCACTAGTGGTCCAAACCGCTTGTGCTCAAAAAACATAACGATGTGGAACCTCAAAGATTTTGTGAAACTTGAATAAGAGACAGAAGAAACGTGATCGTTTGCATTCAGAAAAGAAAGAAAATTGAGGTGAAGGAGTGAATTGAGCAGCACAAGAAAAGGGA